ATAAAAATCTAATACATATATTCTTTTAAAATAATTTTAGCATTTTCTTGTTAAAATTGAAGTTTTAAACCGATATTCACCTTTTGAGATTTTAAACTAAAATGCCGTTTTAAATTTACTCCGTTCGTTATAAATACCGTTTGCAATACTGATTTATATATGAGATTTCAAACTCAACTGATCGACATATAACACACACTAATTAACAATTTATATTATTATTATTATTTATATTATAATATTGTATTATAGTATTTAGTTTATTTATAATATAATAAATATTTTTTGTTATTTTTTACTAATAATGCAGCGTGTGCTAACGAGAGGAGCGCTACCGTCCACGGCTAAAACGTTAATAATTTTGCCTTTGCTACTTTAAGAGAAATTCTTTTATGTTCTTGCCTTATAACATTACTTAGGCTGAACGCTCCAGCGCAGCTTTTTTGTTAAGTGGTGGTAAATTGAGCGCTACGCAGCTTGCTCCATGCAGCGAGCAGCGAATAATGTAGTTATTTTTTTTAGAGTATGTGTCGATTTTTATAGGGTGGTGAAGCTGCTGCCATACGCCTATGTAATTCATTTAATTGCTTCTAAAATATTTTATTAAAAAAGTTTTCTAACAAAATAAGAATAATTGTATTTTGTCTAAAACTTAATTAAAACTAATTTTTGTTGGTACAAATTTAACTGATAATATTTGAAATAATATCAAATAAAAAAAAGAAAAATCAACACACTCACTTGCAGTTGCGCGCTTTTTACTGCAGAATTTTCATATATGAGTATGTTATCCGTCGACAGCGCTGCCATTCGCTTATTTCAATGGTGCTGCTGATACTCGCGATACTGTCACCGTTCCACACAACATAATGCTAGTGTGTCAGTGAGTATTATATGTTAATTTGTATGTGTTTTTTTAGTAAAAGCAAGTACTGTTAAAATCATCAAAGCTTTTATGAGTTGACTCTGCCTTTTTAAACTTTATAACAGCTTTTTTGAACGTCTAAATAATAAAAACTCTTAATAACAGAAAACTGTAAAGTTTACATAAGATTGTAATCGAACATTCAAAGATATGTTAATGTTGCTACTAAGTTATTATAAAATATATTATTTTTACTTATTAGAAAAACAATTTTTAATGTTTAAATTTTTATAGATTACAAATAAATAAATTAAAAATATTAAAATATTCCAACAAGCACAACATAATCAGACAATTAAAGGTAAACATTATGCACAAGATATTTATAAAATTCTTTTTTATTTCGTATTTTATAAATAAAACTATTTAAAAAAAAATATCTTTATTAATATTATAGATACTTCTAAATAACATACTCTGTTACTATATTACGTAACAATGTACAAGATATTATTAAAAAAGAGTGGATTAAAGTATAAGTCTGTCACAAGATTTATAAATTTTGCTTGGAAAAAGAACACATTTTTTTTAAATATTTAAAATTAGTTTTTTATATTTTTACCGGGCATAGGTCGTTTATTCAACACATAAGTTTATAAAAATGTTTTTTAAAATATATAAAAAATTACACTTTTTAAACTGTGTTAAATGTTCAATTTATTTAATTTTTACACAAAAATTGTTTTAATCACAAATAATTCGGTCTACTTCGTAGACCATCTTCAGTGTATATAAAGAAATTACATATTTAAATATATGTAAATAAACATATAAACAAATATTCAAAACAAAAAACCAAAAATGACAAACATTGTTGTCTCTTTCAATGAAATTAATTTCAAAACATTAATTTGAAAAAAACAATAAAATTTGAAATTAAAATCAAAAAAACGAAAATATTTTTTAAATCGGTAACAATGGAGGATAAATTAAAATTTTTTTTAAAGTTATAAATATATAATAAATTTCTCTATGGTTAATCAGAGACCTCTAAATTTAGATCTAAATTAGATCTAATTAGATCTAAACTACACTATCTTTGTGTTTCCTATGACAATGCTGCTTCACCCCTATTAGAAATATTAACTCTTAACAAAATATTGCATTGATACAAGTTGTAATAGCACCATAATATCAGGAATGAAGACCTACACAAAGACTGAGAGAACAGAGTATACAAAACCACAACAATGGCAGAGTACTGAAATTGCGTGATTCTGTGGATGCCCACACTAATTCAGAATTACACTCTTCTAAATCAAATGCAATACTATGTATATGTATATAGATTCTTTCAGTAAGATGTGCTTCAAATTATACTTCTGTACAGCTATCTGAACACCTCATCATCATAATTCAACGCTCTTCAACTCTTGGTAAAATGGATCACTCAAGTGTTCATAGACACTATTAAATAAAGGTGCTTAAGAAAATAGGTAACAGCTCGTTTACGGAGGACCAATTTATGAACAGCTCGTTAACAAATAATCTCTCTTATAAGATATGTATAATTTGTAATAATGATAAACACTGTTACACTCAATTAGTGTATTGAAGGTCCGCATCTTGGTGGCCAATTCACATCAGAAAAATGTCAAATTAGATGTCCGAAAAATTTCTGATACGTGTGATTAAGTTCCGCTGAAACCATAAATTTCACGCTGACAAAAAAATTTAAATTTAAAATGGCAAACTATAATCTAAACATATAATATCTTGGATGATAATTCCGTTAGACTTAATTATCACTGAAACAGTGCCGCTAACTCCGATCAACCATAATAGTAGTTTTCTTACAATTGGCCAATTAAAGAAATAAAAAAAAAGTGTTGTGAAAGTACAATTATGTGCTTTAAATATCATGTTTTTCATTTTGCATGCAGTTGAAGAGTATAAAAACATGTTTTATATGATTTCAGACTGCATCTATTTTTATATAATTCATCTCAACGACGAAGTAGTCCTGCAAGAGTGTTAGATAAGCTTCACAATCAGTACAAATGAAATCTGTTTTATATAAAGAAATATTGTAATTATAAATTAGCGTAGAAGATATATACAAATACTGTCTATGACCCTGCCTCCTTATGCAACTGTAAATTTCGACTAAGCACAAGAATCTTTAAACAGGTGTACAGAGTGTAAGGGACTTACATATATATGCCGAATATCTTGCTTTAAATAAAATTGGGAGAATTTGAAAAATGAATACTACAAACTAATTGTACACTGGATTTCTGCAAGTCAACCGTTTTTATTTGACTTTCATGCCACACATCGACGTATTAGAAAGTAAGAGCTCAATGCAATATGGAAAGCTTAATATAATATGTCAATAATACAACTAAATAAATATAAATACATATAAATAAATAAATAAAGAGGAAATAAAGTAAGCGGTGTAGCAACTGGATTTTTTTTAGACAAGATTTCTATAAAAATTTGTGATTGACATAAATCATTTCGATATTTTATTATTAATTGAATTCAGCGCCAAATCTTGGAAAAAGCCCCCAAACATAACACGGACACATAACGTCTGTTGTAAAACCTTTTTTTATAGCAGCAAGCGGTAGTTTCATTAAGGAACACTTTACGCTACAATGCTTATTACTTTTCTGTCGATTATAAACCAGAATATGATAGTCCCATTAGGAATCACATTTTTGTCGTTATGTCTAAATGTTGGTCAACTATATTGAAAAACATCTGGACGCCGTAGTATGAGGATCATGATATAAGATATTGAGCAATGATATGATCTTTTAAATTTCTTCACGGAAGTGATCATAAACACCATGTATTTATCGTTATAGGATAATTTTTCATAAATTTGTATGTTAACTTGTTTTAATCTGCCTTTATTATTTTTGAATGAAAAGAAAAAAATCTGTATCCGGCTGTATTATATTTTTTGAAGATAGAACGCAAATTCCCGGTTAGACTGCATCATTATATGTAACAATAAAAACATAGTCGTATCAACTTAGTTGATAACAGAGAAAACTATCGAAAAAGTAGATCAGAATATATTGAGTAATCATTATAAAAAAAAAGTTAAACCTTTTAAGGCTATCGGATATCCGCTTGACTATGTAGGTAGATATGGATGGTCATAGCCTGCGTCAGTTAAAAGCAGATACACTTGAACGTATTTACGGCGTTACAATGTCATATAATTTTAATAGGATCCTTAAACAGAGTTATGCATCGTAGAGCAGTGACACTAATATATGAAATATTTTTCAGCCAACTCAAACATAATCCAGCTCTCAAACATAATCCAGTATTTTTTATTGGTTATTTTCTGAATACGAAGATATTTTATAATTCTTCTTCTGCGTTATAGCTGCAGCTATTTTGGATAAGACGTGAGAACTTCAATTTCATTTTATTTCTAATTTCAACCACCGTGAATATTTCAGATTTCAAGTTCTCCAGAGCAGATTCATGTGTGAACACTAATTCCACCACTTTGCTTAGCTAGATTTGAAAAATATTGTATGAAGATTTTTGAATGGAAAGGCTTTCAGTGTATTTGCTATAATTTTTGGTGACATTGGCCTAAAAATGCGATCACATAAATATTTCTAAAACTATATTAGAATAGTTTAAGCAAAGTCGAGTAAATTGTTTGTACATCCACCACTTCACTCTGACAGATCAAAGCACAATCAGAACAGTTAGTAAGAAAATATTAAAAAGATTCCGAAGAATATAAAAATGAAAACTGTGAAATAAATAATATATGTATTATTTCATAGATAATTTTTCAAGTCAAAAATTGGTTCTTCTGTGACTGGGAAGAGAGAAATTATGACGTCTTATAGGTTTGCTCACAGGGTATAGGGCCATGTACAATGTGACGTTGTTTTTTGTGTGATACTTTAATATTTTTTAAAAATAAAAATAATTGTAAATAAAACCGATAAAAGGTTTTTTGATATCTCAAAAAAATTTATTTAAAAAAAATAACTCAAAAAATGAATAAAAAGAAAATTTAATACAATAAAATTAATATTCAAATATAAAAATTTTCTATGTAAACTTTTATATAATAAAACACAAAAACAATTTATATAATTCCGTCTTGGGACTCATCGTTATCATCAGTCTACGAAATAAAATAATTTAATACATTAGCCCAAATAGGTAATCATCTTAAATGGTAATATACCAAATGGGTAGGCTCATTAAAATCTTGCGAGTTATCATATAAAGATCGTACATCCGTCTATAAGGAAAAAACAAAAGAAATGTGAGTTCTATTAATTAGATGCCAAAGACCCTGTGTTAACTACAGAATTAGAGATACTCATACTTATACTACAAACATCAAGAACCGATGTCTTGAATAAAAATTATGTCATTTTTGTATTCAAATATTATTTATTATTATTTATTATTATTATTAGTATTATTTACGTACTGAGTTTGCATAGTTGTTGTTATCCGCAGGATTATCATCACCAGATTCAATTCCTGTAACCTGTAAGTTTAAATTACTTTAATTTACTAAGCACTAAGTAAAATTTTTGTAAATATCTACCAAATTTGGAAAACTGGAATAGTACCGCAAAGATTGATTGTAATTATGTTGAGAATTCTCTGAAGCTTCACCTCTAAAGTACTATGAACAAAAAATATGATATTTCTGTTAAAGTTTGCTGTATTTTTTTTACCAGACTATTGGCACTTAAGCGACCAGAAATATCAAAATCATGTTCTTGCGCAATAGAGAATTTATTAAGACCAGATGCACCACTCTGCATTTTTAAATTTATATTAATAATAAAATAAATCATTAACACTATAGTTTTTGAAAACGTACGAAATGAGTAAATCCGCCACCATAAGCAGAATCAGAGTTATAGTCTCGGTTGACATGATACCTATCGCTAGCCTTTACATATTTCGGTACCTTAAAAAACACCATTCACTTTTTAAATAATTTGTGGTTTATGAATTATACAAAATTAGTAGATCCACGTCTTTTAAACGACTGAAAGACTTGTTCTGGAGGATCACCAAAATATTCAAAAGATGACTCAACTTTCTATAAATATAAATATTGCAATATTATCAGTTATAGTATATGATTAATTTTAGTCAATTTCATACTAAATCATTATGATCAGTCTTCTCTGAAGCATCTAAACTGTGCCCATAATTAGTATAAGATGAAGTTCTAGTTTGGGGGTCCTTAAAAAAATATTTATATATTTTCTTTAAAAAAATTGCACATATAATCTTGTCACGTACCAAAAGGGACTGCCTAGAAATACCCAAAACATCAAAATAATGCTTATAAGGCACATTTCCAGAAATTTCAGGAGCTATAATCTAAAGAATTATATGTAGAGATTATTAAATGTTTTTGAAATTAATGAATGATCTAATATTTGTCTTAAATAACTACCAAGTATGCGTTTCCACGGTACCCAAAGAAGTCCGGCTCTTTTTCGGCGCCCATATCAGAGTTATCATCCGAAACTGTACTAAAACAAACCTTGAAATAAAAATACATTATTATAGTTAATAAAATTGTATTTTAAAGTAATATGTACTAAATTAATATCGGCAGGCTGCAATAAAAGGTGAAAATATTGCTCTAATTTAATACGACTCCATCTATCATTGTAAAATTTTTCCCTAGAGAACTAGAAATAAAGAATAAAATTGTTTTAATACATTTTAAGTTATTATAACTACTTACCAAAGCAAGCAAAAAGTCATCTACCCTAGGAATATTAACATAATCTACAACCTCATTTTCATCGGCCTGAAAATTAATACAACATGAGGTCATTTAATTAGTCAAAATATAAAAGTATTATATTTTAAAAAACTGTGTGAAAACTTTTGTTTATCTAACAATTTGTAGAAATGTTTTCAGATCTATTACACTTAGCATTGTAATCTAGACAAAAAAGCCTGTAAAACTGAATTAATAGAAGTTTAGTCAAATAGTAACGAGAAAATCGGAATGCCTTCTTATATAAGCTTCAAAGTTCGCTAAGTAATTTTGGCATTAACTAATCTTTTGTTAAAAAACGATATCGGTTCAGAAAGAAAAAGGCTGAAAAAAAAGTCATCTCTGGAGAGTACTATAGTTGCATCGTTACAATAATAATATCTATCAGTATGAACATTTGTATAAGCACCAAATTATCGAAACAAATTTTACTACACACGTTTTATATTTGATATATATACTGATCGATGTCTTCAACAATTTATCTTATAATAATGCACAATCTGTATAATTTTCTCCACGTTTTCATAATTGATAGACATGTGAAAACACCTTGACTTCTCGAAATTCAATGTGCCATTGACCATCCTGAAATCATTTATCCTATTTTTAAACTTATGTTTGTAGCATTTTATCGCCGTCGAATATCGCCACCTTTTGAAACAAAAACACAGATGTACCTCTCGCTTACCTAAAACTTAACTAAGTACGTTGCTGCCTGATTGTTAACAGATTTATCACTGGCAATAAAGGAAAATAATAACCAATATCTCTATAGCCAAGATGCAATGGGCGCCCTTTGTAAATTTACGTTTCTTTTTGGTCACACTATATAAGCATTATATATTCTATAAAAAACATACCAATGCAAAATTGTTGAAGTTAGTAAGTTGGAACTGATCATCTGAAGATGGGTAGAGTACATCAGCAAAGCATGAGCTTTCTGCATTCTATTACAGTTACAAAAAACGAAATGAATGGATTTAAAGCTATGTATTTTTAAATATATAGTTACCAAATTAGCGTGGCGAGAATCACACAAGTTGTAGTCACTGGAGTCATTATCAGATACCTTCTCAATGGGAAACATCTAAAAAAATTATACTCATTTATTAAATTTGTTTTAAACTTCGATTAGTTAGTTTAATGAAAAGGGTTAAAAAATGGTTGGACTTTATGGTCTTAAAACTCAAAACAGTGATCACTGAGTTCATCTGTTGCAGCCTATATGTATGTATATTAGGATAGTTTTGATTTTTTGAATATCAAATTTCTTTAAAAAAGTCCTCTCACTTTTAGAGGCAGCGGTCTGCATTTAACGTATTAAAAGTAACTAGAAAAGTATTGATGGTAGGGGGATCAAATGTTCCACTGTCTAATGGAATTTTTTTAAAAAACAGAACTTTCTTTCGTATATTGCAAATGTCTGTATTAATGTCTCAACATGGTTTACCTGTAAAAGTTAATTTTTGAGACAACTAATTATCTGTCATCAATGGACTACCTTGAGGTCTGAGAGGGTTAACATCCAAGATTAATACGCATACATTTTTTATTATGTAAGTTTTCCCAATTGCAAAATTCTATCTTGAAAGCTACCACCATCTTATATAAAAATAACATTTTTTTATGAAAGTAAATAGATTTTTTCCCCTGAATAACTAAATATTGACCTGAGAAGGTTAAAATTTGTGACTAACTTATATTTTTTTGTATAACAGATCTTTTCTTCATAATTTACAAATCATTATCTGAAAAGCTTGCACTACTTTTCATACAAAAGTCCGTCTGCTTCTAATATATCAATATATATTTTAATATTATATACGGTATGTGTCTGGCTAAAGTTATCCAAAGGTCGACAGTAAGGTTCTGCAAACAGTGGATACTTATTAAGAAAAAACATAAAATCCTTAATCTTTAAATAATAATTATATATAGATATATATGGATTACTATATACTATATATTATTATAAATAGTATATATATGGATTACATACCAAACTATAAAGTCCGAAATCACTTGAAGATTCGGAGTCGGTGCGTATAGAAACACCTTTAGCATCACTAGAATGTTTCTTTGAATAGAAATAATTTGAGTTTTATAAATCAGTTTTAAATTTGTTAAAAACATACCGAAGTATTGGAAGTGGAATCACAACCACGTTTTGAACCCTGGTCTTGGGTAGTACACTTCGATTCATCACTTGATTTATGCTCCGAAGCCTGTTTAAAACAATTCACACATTAGTTGTGAAGTGTGAGTTTCTTAACCTATTTACCATTTGAGTAGTATTCTCAGCAGTATTGTTCAACTGATCACTGGATGCGTTCTCCTTCTGCACCTATGTATATATCTTTTTGGTTATTTGTACTAAGTTAGTGAGTTTATATTATAAGTTATGAACCAAATAAGCACAAACAAAGTCTTTCGAAATTACTGGACTTAAAGCAAAGGATAAACAGAAAATTATTATAACTTATTGGCAGTTTGTTATAATATTAATACATAAAAAATTATAATTGGTCAATTAAACTAATAGATGTTTTCAAACACGGCTAATGAAGTACTTTTGGAAGGTCTCGTAACACTTACCCAAGAACTCAAAAAGTTTTTTCGATATAGTGTTACAATTCCAGCTACAATTTCTTTCTAATATCATATAAAGAGCTATCGGTATTGTTGGGTGTCAGCTGGCAATTCAATTAGAACCTATTATACAACAATACAAATTTCACTCAAAATATCGTTTCCTGCATTTAGAATACTAGCGTCTGCAATTCGTGATATTCCTTAGATACTTAAATATTATATAAATCCTAAAATTTTTAAAACATTACAGTTAGTGTACTCGTTGAATCAAATTTTAAAATCCTTTATATTATCTCAAATTTTCGAGTTAAGTTTTTCTTACAATATTTCTACCTATCTATTATCTACTTGTATTTTATGCAATGCATTGCTCTAACAAATACATTTTGGTTTTCATAATTAAGTTGATTATCAATTAAAAAATTGCTTACCTGCTGATTATTCAATGCGTTTTTGCAGAAAGCTGATTTGAGAATAAAAAATTCTTTCACTATATTCTTTCCGAAATCGACTCTCCTTATATGATGTATCCAGAGAAAAGAAACTGATCTACAAACCATCATCGACAGAAAATAGCTGAAAACAAGTAAAACCTTCTCAGTGATGCAAGTAGCCGCAGGCTCATATACCTTCCAAAACTCCAGTACCTTCACATAGCAATAGCACCGCAAAATAGGCAGCAATAAAAACAGACCAACTTCATAAAGACAGACGCAGAGAAAACGTAGTGTAGAAATAATTTTATTTACTAAAGACATTTCTGTTGTAATGTAAAAAATTTAACCGCTTTTACAACTTTCTTGAAAATTCTGTAAAAAAAAATTTTTTTACAGAAAAAAAAAATAAATATATAAAAATATTTGAAGTTTCTTCTTTTGTGAAAAAATTTAGATTTTATAATTTAACAGAAATTAAATTTTATTTTTTAATTTTATTAAAAAAAAAGAATGTTGTCCATAGTCACATCAAAAAAACCGTTACTCATTACATTTATTAGTACACAAACACTTAAAATAAGTAGGACTGCGTAGATAATCCAGTAACTAACATCATACATATCATATCTCTCTTTTCAAGATCTCTTCAAATTTGCATTCAGTCAGCACATGAATCTCTAACAAATACTTCAAGCACTGCCCGACGCTCAATTCTACTACAGTCGCTGACAACTGAAGTCCATACAATTGAACTACATTGGAGGTAGTCATCTACGGTAGTGATAGGCTATACCATAGATTATTCGTGCGTTGAGAATAATTTCCTATATTCAAGTTGTGAAGAAAAAAATTCTGTTCTCATATGTAAAAGCTGGATCTCGTGAGCACTTGTTTCTTTATATTTACTTTTTATCTTTACTACTCTAAAAAGTGAACATGGAATTTAACGTGAACAAATATTTTAGGCTCAACTTTTCGCCCAAATCTTGACTCGTATTGCAAAAATCAATCTTTATCATATATTATATGCTTAAGCTACAATTATTTTAAATTAGAAATAAACCATTCAATATATATTTAACACATGATCTTATATTAGAACATTTTAGTAACTTACCTTCCCGTTTAAGATTTCCTCTTAATAAATCGTAATTTTTTGATTGCAAAATACAATATCCGACAAACAATTTTTCTTCGAACAAAATCATAAACGCACGAAGAAAAAAATTTTTTAATAATAATTTCATTTTTTTTTTACTGAGATTGCTATATTTCTTTTTTTCCTTGAATTACAGGTTACTTAAATTTATTGATAATTAATATTGTGAACAATAATAATTGTTAATTAAAAACCCGTTTAAAAACCTGAATCTAATCGAATGCGATATTCTAATCTTTTGAAATTTTGTCCAATGAATAGGTTGACGATGAAGTCTACACGGACCCCTCAAAATGCAGCATGGAATAATATTCCATTCTTCAGTTCTAAATCTCATTCCCAAACCTATCAAAAAAACACAATCTTAGACAAATATGGTAATCAACAAGATATCCACCCTATAAAACAAAGCTAAATAGATTAACTAAATATCTGAGTACGCAAATCAAATAAAAACGAGTCTCTAAAAGTATATCGTAGCAATCTTATATACGTTAAAAACACTAATTATTCCCTTTGGAAATGCTCGAAAAACCTAAAGAAGCCGGTCATATAAAATTCGTCTATTCGAACTAACGATGGCAACTAGGCCACAGATGATTGCAACAAATCATTGGATTTTCCGAATACGATAGCAGTCATTTTAACTCTATAGAACCTCCTTTCTTACTAATATGTGATGAAATTGCACACTTCTTTGAGTTAGAACTTATAGAAATTATTAATGCTGAACTTAAATTAAAGAAATCGTCTGGATTTGATATAATTACCATTGAAATGTTGCGTCAGATATCTGTCAAATGTATCTTCAAGCCAATTATGTGGAAAATATCGGAGGTAATTATGATCTTAAAACCGAGAAAACCTGTACACGAGATCTCATCATATAGATCTACATCAATAACTTCCAAAATCATGTCCAAGATACTTGAGATAGAAATTTTAAAAAGAATTTAAAATATATAGAATAAAGAATTTAGAAGTGCGCTACATCCTCCGTGTCCGTCTTGTAATTCATTCTTTTATTTTACGGTATTTGTACGATAGAGATGCTACATATCGCACAAATATCACAAAATAAAAGAATAAAGACAAGACGGACACGGAGATTGTAGCCCTAGAGGTGGGCTACGCTTCTAGCCCACCTCTAGGTAGAAAAGTGATCGGAAAAAATTAGTGCAATATAGACAATAGAATAAACAACATGACGATTGGATTGTAATAATATTAATTTCTATTTTTATTAGGTAACATTTAACATTCTTGGCTAATATTTAATTGAGCTTACTTAATATTTAGTTAATACTTTAATATATATAATTCTAGAATATATATCAAAAAATTTTTTTAATTTTATTTCTATATTTATTTGATTATATATATATAAATATATTTTCAATATATGTTTGTTGTGTGTCTTTGTAAACCAGGATCCTGATGATGACTCTCGAAGATAGTCGAAATAAAGAATTAATTAACAAACATGAAACAAAGAATTTTCAATTTTTTTTTGAAAAAAATTGACCCACAGCCAGTTAAAAAATAAACAAAAAAATTATAATATAATATAATATAATATAATATAATATAAATAATATTATATAATATAATATATTATATTATAATATAATATAATATAATATAAATATTATAATAATATATAATATAATATATAATATTATAATAATATATAATATAATATATAATATTATAATAATATATAATATAATATATAATATTATAATAATATATAATATAATATATAATATTATAATAATATATAATATAATATATAATATTATAATAATATATAATATAATATATAATATTATAATAATATATAATATAATATATAATATTATAATAATATATAATATAATATATAATATTATAATAATATATAATATAATATATAATATTATAATAATATATAATATAATATATAATATTATAATAATATATAATATAATATATAATATTTTAATAATAGATAACATTATATTATTATAATAATATTATAACATATATTATAATAATATAAAATATTATAATATTATTATAATATATAATATTATAATAAT